AGCCGAGCGAGCGACGACGACGACGGCGCGAGGCTTGCTTTCTTCTTAACTCTTTAAGAGCTACAAGAAGAGCAATTATATATATACCCACCAAAAATGTCTTCCACTTCCAATATGGGACAATGTCTCATTGTTAAGAGGGGGAAACTTAAAATTTTACTCAAAATTTTATTTTCCCTCCATTTCCCATTCACCCTCATTTTAAGAATATTACATCTTAAAAATAAAACCTCAACAGTTACTAATATCTCGCTGAAATTCCTGCTCCGGTAATTTTGGAAACATATAGTGTCATTGATTAGTCGCTATCAGAAGTGTTGTTATTTCTGGAGACTTTAAGCTTTATACGCTGACAGTGTAAAGTTAACTACACAATCAAGTTAATTATAAAGTAACATTAATTAGTTACTTTTCTCGCTATATATGAATGGTGCATGTAGTTATCGTTTAGGTGACCTGAAAGTTCAAAAATTGTTCTACACTGTCAATTCTTAGAAATTAAACTCAAGCAAGAAAAGCTAAAACTGCTGAATTTTCATTCCATACTAGAAGAGTGTGGAATAAAAACAGAATAAATGATAAACAACCAAATTAAGGGGGTTAAGAAGTGTGGCCTAATGCTCTCTTGGTCATGATCGAAAAGCGATGACTACAGGTACTTCACGCTATCAAAATGTTAAAACAAGAAACTTAAGCTAAAGGAAGATAACAAAAAATCAGGTCTGAAACACTTTTTTTCTTCAAACTTATTGGAACTTACAAGCAGAAGCAGAGATAATTGGGGTTCCTTTCCAACTGATAACTAGCCATTTCCCATCCAACTCAAAGGTGCATAATCCGCGCAACTTGGACCTGTCAAACAGTAAACTTGCTTGGCACAAGGATGAGTGGCTCAGGTCTGTTTCCACCATATGAAACATGGCAAATAAATCCCTCCACACTTTAAGATTCCCATGACGTGGAACGGTCTCTTCTCCATGATATGTGATCATACTTCTGATGAGTTTTTGTATGTAAAATCCTCCACATATTGGTATACCCTTGTGGTGAACCTAAAACCAATCAGCAATAGCACTAAAGTAGCTAAAGACTCGTCGAAAGAATCTATATACAATTTGGTAAATTTGTGATTGCTATTGGCTCAATGACCACCATTATGAAAGGATTGAGACTTTTAATAACCTCCATCAAAGCTTCCAGGTTCTCAGCCCAAGCTAACATAGTCCAAAGCATTGTGTTTGAGTATACTGCGACCACTTCATTAGCTCTACTTCAAAGGAATCTGTCTTAAGATTTTTTAGGTCTGAAACAACTGTTTTGAAGCAAAAAGAAATGTTTAATGTCTCAGCAGCAAAAGCTGACAATCTATATTAAGGTGTAATTTG